ACCCTCATTGTTGGGTATTGAGAACCTAGGGGACAGCAAACCTGGTCTGGATGGACATGTCTGCTTGCACGTGACCACGTCTTCCGGTCGCTAGCTGGAAACTGGTTGCTGTTGTTGTGACATCTCCGCCTGACGTCGCTGCCTGACTAGGCAAATTCGAGCCCCGCTATTAATGTCGTCACCAAGCGTCCTTCAGCGCGGCGTGCAAATAGAAGGCTATTTGTAACCTTGTCCTATTAAAGGCTCCTCCAGAGTCTTTATTTAAAGTCACCTCCATTTTCCAACCTTGAAAACGTAGGTAGTTGCATTTCTTGTCCTTGTGGCTTTACGTGGCTATTTTCAGCCACGTGTGGCTTGGTCCTTGCCTCCCTCCTACAACCCCGCCAAATTTTTAAGTCCCTCTATTATTTTCAACACAGAATATCACACCTGAGACGACGATGCAGAATGACACCGGTTTTCTCATCGTTTCTGGGGATACACCTCCCGATGATCTTCTTATCGAGGTTGAAAAGGAGATCTCTTCTACCGAATCATCTTCGCCGAGGCGATGTGGCGACAAATGCCGGGAACTCATGCGCTATGGCTTAAGGGTATGTTGGTTTTCAATGAGGTAGAAGACTTCGCTGACTTCCACAGTTACCCGACGAAGATTGGTTCCAAAAGTACCTCGGTTGCTCCTATTATAAAGCTAAGAAAATCGGTGATACAAGACTCATGCTATTCGACAAAAACCGACTAGGACGTTTCGTTCCCGGTCCACCTGGAACGGTGCTGATATACAGAGCTGCTACGCGCGATGGTCTCAGTTCTGGAAATGGGTTCTTTGAAATTGTCCCGCGATCACATCGTATGACGGCTGGAGAGATAAAGCGAGCAGAATCCATACCGGTTAATCTCGGACCGTGGGACGTCCTGTTCCTAGCGGCGAATATGACTATTGAATACATTAAATCTGGTGGAGGTGTTGCTCTTTGCGAGGCTGTGTCAGCGTCTCTTGAGTCAGGAAAGGATGAGAACACGAACAATGCTTAAGAGTCTGGATACGCATGATGAATTCATTCATGTGCTACATCATTAGTCTTAATAGACAATTAACTGTAGAAAAAAGTAGTGTCCCAATTTGGAAAAGGAAAATGTAAGTCGCTATCTACCCAGCCCGGATCTGAATTGGGAAAGAGCCAACCCGGATCAGAATTGGGGAAAGGTTGCAAATTCAGCATCTGAGAGTTGCAAGCGCTTTGCGGATCAACCATTGAAGCGACTGGTCGGTCATAATTCTCTTGCTGCAGTGAATGACGAGCATCCTCCAACTGCTGGCCGGAATCAACTTGAGACTCGGGAACTGTGTTTTTACATGATTCCGTGGAGTTCACATTATCACTGGTTGATTGGTATGTATTATAATGCCGATGCTCTGCTTGATAGGGGAAATCGTGCCAAGGGCTGTCTGACGCTTGAGATGTGCTGCTCATCGACGGAAGCTGATTCCCTTCTTGCTGGCCCGGCGAAATTGTAGTCTGATATGGAACAGATGCGCTCCCGTCTGTCTGTTCAGCTTGGTTCTGTATGCTGTGACATACTTGCGGGCTGGTATAGCTGCTGTCCGAAAAGGAAGCCCCTGAATAATGGGTCGGTAGTCTGCGAGATCTCTCAATAGCGACTGCCTCTCTTGTCGGGTTCCGGTCCAATGCAGTCTCTGTGGAATTAAACGTCAAGTCATGGATATGGGAGAGCGTTCGAGCAGCTTCTTGTTCTTCAGGATGGAGAGTTGCGTTGTGACCCTGCACAATGTCACTGTCGTCTCCGGGAAGAGTAACACCGCAGTTGTCGGCTGGGCGATGTTGTGAATGAGGAGAAGTCTCCAACTGCTGGCCGGAATCAACTCGAGATTCATCATGGTCATCATCAAATGGCGATGGTTCATTTATCCGTACAGGGTCATCGGGTGATGCAGCCGTTCCGCGAGATTCAAGAGTGTCGTTGTTGCCGACAAAAGCTGTAGCCTGGTGGGGAAGCCGCTGTATGTCACGTCCCCCGCCTTCTGGGGCCTGATGTGGTGATTGGATTAAGATATCTAGTGCTCTGTCATTCAACCTGAGAGGCGCGAGACAAACGCGCTTCGGGACAGGTTGCTGAATATCTGGCAGTTGCTCTTCAGAATCGGCATCCCCCTCACTATCTTACCTGCGCTGAACCTTGTCGAACCATTGTGATAAAACAACTATGATGTCCAGAAGAATGAAGGGGAGTAGTGCTTGACTGGTCTGAAGTGGACGGCTTGACTGGCAGCTCCACCACGGATGACTCGAGGAACAAGACGTCAATGAAGTTGGGTATTTCCTCCAAGTGCAGTTCCCTGAAGGCTCTGATAGTCAAAGCTGTAACAGCAGATACTCCACTTGTACTGTTTGATCGTCGCATTGCCATGAGCCGTTCTTTAAGTAGTCGTTCAATCACCAGCTGTTTGATTCCAGCATTGATGGCTCGGATGGTAAGAGCTATGTCGTCACTGGCGATGTTTGGATTCATTCTTCTGATGTATTTCTGAACAACTCCCCCTCGCTTTTCATATAGGGCTTTTCGATCAAATTTCCGAGAAGAAAGGATCTGACACAGCTTATCCACTTTTGATAGTTGTTCAGTCTTTTGTTCAGTCTCTTGCGTTCGTGTAAATTGGAGAGCCAGCGATCTCTGAGCAAGTCCTCTGAACAACTTGTCCTCTTCCTTTGGGGACCTATTGCCTTCGACACGCTGGATATCATCCAGTCTTCTGTCTCTCTTATGCAATCGCAATCGCTTCCTTCGGATAATGCTGACAGGTTCATTTTCTTTGAATTCCCATAACCAAGGCAGGACTTTTGTCAACGCTTCAACCAGTTTATACGGCCGCTCTGGTGCCGGGGTGGATGCATCGCTAAGAGCATTATCAGGAATGTTTCTATGTTGTGATGGACAGGACTGTAAATTTATGGAAATTCGTGTTTGTGCTCCGTCCGAACTCCCAATGCCAGCGTCGTTGTCTGGGTCGTCGTCGGGATTGTTATCTGGGTCATTGTCATCTGACTGACGGATAGAATATTCTGAGCTACCTGATGCAGGTTCATCTTCATGAGTCGTGGATGAAGATGACTGTTGGCAAAAGCAGCAGATCATGGGCAAGACTTTAGATTGAGAATCCGTAGCGGAAACCACTCTCCTCAATCGTTTCTCAACTTCTATTAAAACAGAGGCAATCTCGTGCCTGTAAATTCGGAGAGCGTCATCTGGCGCATTCCGCAGAGTCTTTAATGCTGATAAGAGATCCATTTTTTCGCTCAAAAACAAGTCGTTGACATGAGAATGTATCATTCTAAAGGAGGTTTGGATTATCCAAAGATGAGTTCTCCCCATGACTTTGCATTGCAAGCCGGGCAGCCAATCAAGTTTGGACATGCTACAGGACCGCAGCAATTCAAACTCACGCAATGTGTACTATGTATGTACCTTGGTGTCATGTGACTTGGCAACTCCCCTCCCCTACCTCCCACCATACAGCTGTGGGTGGGGAACCTACAACTGGTGAAACTGTAATCTCCACATCACAGCTTATTATTACTACTAGTAGGAACCTGGGACAGGTGGACCTGTACTGTATCGTTTAAAGTTTCCTTAAAACCCTGATACTAGCATAGCGAGTGATCGGCACCCCGGTCAGGTGGGGCAGTTGCTATGTATCGGGAAGTGGAGCCGACCATTTAAACAAAAAAAATGGGTGGGTACCTGTATAACGCGCGTAATGCAATTAAAACTAAATAGCCTTGTATAAAAAGTAAATGTATCTCCATACCTGGCGCAGGGTCCAATGCCCTGCCCTCCAACCAACTAATGCACGCCTCTTATCTGCTTATCTGATAGGTGTGCTGCCTGGTGCAGCCTAAGAGTTCATCTTGATGTCAAGGAGGGAGGAACAACGCTATGCAGACTAACTGTATTGGCTCAATCTAAGTAGCTGGGATGTAGGATACAGCTCTAGGAACAGGGTGCAAGCTATCACTGCACTTTCCTGATTTGGGAGCCGGGACTTCGAGCCACTCAACATGATAGGGAATAAATACTAATGAAGGCCTCCCATGCTCTTTCTTCCCCTTTCACGCTCCTGTTACGAACCAACAGAATGAGGCGCTGTCCAACACAGCGATGCAGAATGAAACAAGCAACTCGCGGGGTTAGGAAACAAGGCAGAATCACGTGACCAGCATGGCAGCATGGCAGAAGTGACATGCTGACATGTTCGACATGGCAAGGCAGCGAGATCAGCATGCTCGATAATATTCAGGATAGGACGAACATGTCACAGTGAGGGGAAGTAACATGCTGGAGGAAAAGCATAAAAGGATGATCATTCATCATGTATCTAGTCTTTCCTTACTCGCGCTCAATTCCAATTATCATTCTGTTACTAAGATACTTACTTTGGGGGTCAGTAAGACTTCTTACTACTAGTGGTATACTTCGGTATAGCTCTAGTAGGCGTTGCCTCTGACCTAGTCGTTATTGTTCCTTAAGCATTCTTGTTGTGTCCCTGTGAGACCCCATCACGTCTGCGAGATAGGTCGTTCGAGGAAGAGCCCTTCGCCAGTTAGGCCGTTGTCTCGAGTGAGGAGACCCGGATCGGTTAGATCGTCGCGTGCTCGTGAACGACATAGAGTCAGGAAGACTCCTTGATCCTTCCCTAACCACCATTGCTAAGTATCGACGACTACGGTTGGACCCAGCGCGTAACAGCTCCCTTTGTCTGGAACTTTCTAACTGTCCAAAACCAAAACAAAAACAAAAATAATTAAAAAAAAGCAACCCTCACCACAAGCTGTTTCAGCTGCACTGGCTCCGCAACATCCTGTTATGGAACAAGCCGATTGGCACCTAATGAAACAGGGAAGGTGACACCTGAACCAACACCTTAACCTTGAAGGAACTCAGGTCACGTGATTACCAAGACATGTGGTATATGAATGGTATATGAGAGATAGATGCCAAGACGATATCATATACCAAACATCTACCAACAATATATCAAGGATATACCAAGAGAAGGATATAAGGACGATCATTGCCATCATGTATCTAGTTCTTCTTTATCTCTCACTCAATCCAACTCAATTTCCCATTGTTACTAAGATACTTACTAGGAGGGTCAGTAAGACATCTTACTACTATTGGTATACCTCTGGTATAGCTTTAGTAGGCGTTGCCCCTGACCTAGTCGTTGTTGTTGTTGTTACTCAGTGAAGCACCCTCATTATTGTGTCTGTGACAACAGAGTCCTGTGTGAGAGAACCTTGTGTGTTGTCGTTCAGGGAGAGCCCTTCGCCACGTAGGTCTTGTCTCTGAGGGAATAGAGACGTGGGTCGGGTAGACCGTTGCGGCTCGAGAACGACGTGAGAGTCCCCAACTGAGGCCACTGAAGAGGAGAATGAGGATGTTCCCCGAGACCTGGACATACTAGTATCCAGCGCATATGAGAACGACCAGCAAATGAAAGATATCATCGAGGCAAAGCAAAGGGGTGACCGCCGCCTACCCCCTCACATAATTGCCAGCGGAATCAAGCTCTCTATGGGAGATATTGAAGTACGAGACAACAAGATATGGCTGGGCAAACGCTTAATGATCCCAAACGACACCGATCTCCGGCGCATGATATTTGAAGCTCATCACACTGTCAGAACAGCAGGTCACCCAGGCGCGAAGAGCATGTATCGCAGCCTTCTGAGAGGATATTTCTGGCCAGGCATGAAGGAGGACTGCAAACAGTACGCAGATAACTGTCACGACTGCCGCAGAGCTAAGGCTCGCACAGTACTCAAGCAGGGCCTATTAAAACCATTGCCAGTCCCACAACGACGGTGGCTAGATATCTCAATGGATTTCATCACCGAACTGCCACCGTGCCACCGGAAGGGACGAACGTACAATCATATCATGACAGTAGTAGACCGGCTTGGCAAGGGACGAATATTTGAACCGTTGATGACTTTGGAAGTTGAAGAGGTTTATGAGGCTGTGAACCGGAGAGTCTTTTGCACACGGGGTTTACCCGCCTCTATTGTCTCAGACCGAGGGCCTCAGTTCATCAGTCACCTATGGAAGCGACTATGTCAACGGCGAGGCATCAAAGTAAAGCTGTCGTCAGCCCAGCATGCAGAGACTGATGGCCAGACCGAGATCATAAATAAAGCCATCAAGACGTATCTCCGGAACTACGTCGACTACCTACAGGATGACTGGGTAGACTACCTGCCCGAAGCGGAGTTTGTCGGGAATAACAGTGACCACTCAGCGACTGGGATGAGCCCGTTCTTTGCTGACTTCGGATATCACCCTCGAAGTGGTGCTGAACCGCCAGGGACCTATGAGGGGCGAGGGAAGGCTGAGGTAGAGACTGCAGACCGCATCATCAAGCGCAATGAGGAGATAAACGAATGGCTAAGAGATCAGTTGGCATGGGTCCAGGAGGAATACGAGCGACACGCAAATAAACACCGGCAGCCACACCCAGAATATAGAGTTGGGGATAGAGTATTTGTCGATGCTAGGCACTTCGCTGCCGAACGACCCAGCAAATCCCTAGGCCTTAAGAATGCGGGCCCATGGAGGATTACGAGAGTCATTGACAATAAGGCTTACGAAGTAGAGTTACCGGATCATCTGAAAAAGGCTGGTCTTACCCCAATCTTCCACCCGTGGAAGTTACACCTCGCACCCGATAAGCCCTATCCGGGCCAACGCCAAAAGCCTCAACCAGCTTTTCTGATTAACGGAGACGACGACGAGGAACCGCATGACGAATGGGAAGTATTGGAAGTAGTCGACTGTCGACAGACGAAGCGCCTAGGTGTGCAATACAAAGCAACATATGTTGGGGACTGGGACGAATGGAATGCTGCTCCTCCGTGGCAGCCATGGACGGATTTTAAGCGCGCTCCAGACAAAATCCGCGCCTTTCATAAGCGGTATCCGATGAAGCCAAAACCCCCCTCGGTGAACTTATATCGATCGTAATTGGCTGACTTGATAGTATCCACGATCGTCTTGACAGTCGTCCCGGCGCGGACAGTGATGTCGCATGTCTTCACGACATTTGTCGAAATTGTATAGTTGAGACGACTCACGAGCAGGCATGCAGGGGCAGCCCCGGGCCCAGAGGGGCTCAAATCGAGGCGAACCGACGTGTTGTGCGAAGTGGGGAGATAGAGCACCCAGTGGTTTGTCTTTTTCTCTGAGGTGCTCGAGATATTGTCTGGCGGGTGCGCGGCTGCCTTTATGGTGGTAATGGAATCAGTCAAGGACGACGACAGACTAGGTGGAATATATGAAATCGTGGTTGCCATGGCCCCGGCAAGTCGTCGAGAAGAGATGGATCGAAGCGGTTGACGGAATTGGTACGTGCGTTAGCTCAGTGAAGATTCCACTTTTTCTCAATTAAGTTGTGGCGAGAACGCTGTATTTATGTGCTTTCCCATGGGGATGATGGGAACGAGTGTCTGACACATCATAGACTACAGCTATCGGGGTCAAATGACAGCCGCGTGGGCCTTTGGTGACGCTGTTCCAGTCACCTGCCCGGGCGGCCAGGGATGGAAAGGCATCACGGCGGGAGTGCGGGGTGGGATCCGTGCCGCCCCGTTTGGCTGATCCACTCCGTATCAAGTAAGATGTCCTGATGCGTTCTTGGAGAGATAGATACCTTGAGACTGATCAACAAGGTACGCCTACTAGGCGAAATACCCGGGAGGGGGGGGGGGGGGGGGGTTGGCGAGCCATGATAACTACCAGGGCCTCTGGGCTAGTTGGAGGCTCGCCGGTCAAAAAGAGTGGTCCGTTGTGACCTCTCATTCGAAGATCACTCAAGCAAGAGCCCAAGCGCCCTCTGTTGGCAAATTTCTCATTGGCTCATTTTCAAGCGACCTTTGCAAATCCCTGTTGGAAGGCAGTGTGGCCTTTCAATAGGTAATTAAGGTAAGCCAGGGATGGAGGCGGGGACAGGCCATGTGAGCACTTCCACTTCATGCGTTCAACATACACCACCCTGAAGGGAGCCTCTGGGGATATCCATTTTCATCTCGATTGTGCAAAACCTGGTTATTGGTACAGCCAAAGTGCATAACAGGAATACTACCAGTCAATCCGCTCAATTGGTTTGACGAGATCCACATTCAGACTCTCCGCCATCGGGCCGTCCATAGAGCTCCAGTTCTGTTGACAGCCAATTACCATAGAAGACTTTGTGCTAATATTAAACAGAAGGCCGCAACCCCACTACCCCACCGTCCTTGGCATCCGATTACCACACCAGATAGTTGCCCCACACATCCACACTCCTCGTGATGCGAGGCCACTGCTTTGGTTCGCATTTTGCGCCACGATCCGCAATAATTGACCTCCGGACTTGCTCGTCCATCTCTCTTAAGAGAAAGTTGTGACGCACCTCTCTCACTGAGTAGCTTGACATTGCGCTTTGGAATTCGGCTTGTCCATGGAACTTCCTCGCTTTCGTTCATGGCGCTAGAGGGATTGGAATTGTCATGGGCATCGCTGCTGGAAAAATTCGACAGGTTTGAAGGAAAATTTCCGTAGCCAAGGTCTATGATGCTGTACAAGTTGCATGGGCCAAGAAGCACCTGCCCACTCAATGGCTTCAAACTTCGCAGCTCGGTCGATTGGAGGCGAGCCTCGTTCTTTGAGACTGGAAAACGCATACACCTTGACGTATATTTGTCCAGTGTAATCAATCGACCATGTTATACAGAATCCATGGGTACAGATTACTTGAAAGGAGTGGCTTGGGCCCGTAATATTCTCTGTGAGTTCATAGCAAAGGTTCGGTCGAGCATCAAAAGCTGCAGCAAAATAACCGCCTAGCAAGGCACGTAGTGACGCAATCGGAGTTGTGAAGCATATTCCTCCCGACTATTGAAGAACCAGTTGTGAATCAACTGAAAATTCAATGGTCATGGCCACATAAGGGGATGATCTGAACCCAAAAATATAGTCAATGTAGTCTCCATGGCAGTAAACGATTTACCACAAGGCTAGTCGAGAGTGAAATCCAAGGCAACTGGCTTGCATGAACGAGGCAACATACTGCAGATGATAGGGCATCTTACATGTCAAGTCCTAAAGTAGTATAGAGTAGCCGTGCCCCCTGACGCGCCAACACTTCCCGTGTTGGTGCGTCCCACCACAACGGACATTTTCACCACAATGGACAATTTTTACAATTTTCTCAATTTTATGCCTTACCACAATGCCAAAATCGCCAGACAAAATTAAATCCCGAATCGAGGAAGCTTTACGAAAGGCTTCATGTCAAAAAAAAACCGAATATCTCTGCGTTGGCGCGAGAATTCGATGTGCCTCGCGGACGGCTTCGCGAACGCTTCAAGGGTCGGCCACCAAAAACAGCTCATATCGCGCGTAATAAGGCACTAGATGACCAGCAAGAGAAGGCAATTATTTGCTGGATTCGACAGCTTGGTTCTCTACACTTGCCGCCTAAGCCAAAGATGATTGAGTGCTGCGCAAACCAGAT